CTCTTTGTCCAGCATGATAAGGGGCAAGGGAAACGGAAACCCAGGGAATAACAGGTGTCCAAAGGAGGCCCCTGACTATTCTGGGAAAGAGTATCCCATTCTTCCTGTCAACCTGCTTTGCTGTGATGGAGGGAGGTGAGGTGCAAAGAAAGGCAGGATGAAAGGAAACAAACAAAAAAACAAAAAAAAAACCCATTGAGAGTGGGAGAAGCTAACGTAGAATGAGCATTGGTGGGAATGATGGAGTGAATGAATGACCAGCACCTACTGCTTCCATTTATTTTCCCACACAGATCTATCTCAAGGTAAATTTCAGAAAGATGACAGGAGAGGAATGGACATGGAGGGGACCTGGAGAGGCTAAGAGGTGAAAGAATGTCATCATTGCCGCTGGGAACCTCTGGCTTTTGAGTCTACCTGATTCTGCACCTGTTCAGAGGCCAGGGGTAGGGGTACTTCACTGTCAGAGCCAGAGGTCCATGTGTGTTTCTGTGTTCCTGGGGGTGGGAGGTGATGCCTGGCTGGTCCCACTTCACACACCACTTCCTCTCTTTGCCGCTGACTTGCTGGGAGACCCTGTACAAAGATGCCACCTATCTAAGGTTCAATGTCCTCATCTATAAAACGTAGAGATTTCCCCACCCTCTGATGTAGCAGCCTGTTTCTAGGATTCTATCCTCCAGAAATACTATCCCAGGGGCCCCAAGATGTACATACAAAGATGGTCATTGTTCGCTAACAGCAAAGCACTAGGAACAACCTACATGTTCATTAGTGAGGGACAGGGTAACTAAGTTTCAACACAGCTGGAAAACAGAAAACCACCCAGCTGCTAACAAGAGGACCACGGAAATACATCCTCAGAAGAAGTGAAAAAAGTGAAACCAGCAAGCTGCAGAATAACAGATTAATATTTTTTGCAAAAAAATTATATGTATACATATATTACATATATCATATGTATTTATATATATAAACATTTACATGTGCAGATATATGGAATTTCAAAACATCAGGAAGAAAGGGGAAAAAAAACTTGCCCAAATGCTGTCAGTGGTCCACTTTGGGAGTGAGATGGGGGTGTGGCAGGCTCACTTTTTACGAGTCATCATGGTTTGAATTTGTAACAATGGCAGGCATAACTTGAAATGCACAGCTTTGAGGTATAACTCACATACCATAAAATTCACTCTTGTGACGTGTACAATTCAGCGGTATTTAGTATATTCACAAAGTTATGTAACTATCACTATTATTTCCTTTAATATATTTTCATGACCCCCCGAACTCTATACCCAGTAGCACTCACTCCCAATCCGCCCTCCCCCGCCATCCCCTGGCAACCCCTATTCTACTTTCTATGTATTTGACTACTCAAGGCTCCTCATATAAGTGGAATTGTACAATATTTGTTGCCGATTAATTTTTAGACTCTCACTCTAGTCATAAAATTAAGCAGTCACTTGAAAAAACAAATTAACTTTCTCACACCAACACAACATTGCAGTTTAATTAAGGGTGCTAGAAGCAAATCAGGCTCTAATTTTAAAACCAAACTAGCGCCAAATAAGAGGAAATTTGCCCACACAGCGCCAGGGCCACAGCAGATCACTGGGTGACAGGAAATCCGGGTCAGTCAGGTAGAGCAAGCATCACTTCATAATAAAAACAATAACTGATGAGGAAATAGGACTTTGTGAATGTTCCACGCCTCCAGTCCGGACAGCCTGGAGCCTCAGCTGCTGTGGTCTTCGAATTTTAGGATTTCATTTTTCTAAGCTTCTCTGACTCCAGGTTCCATGTGGGTCTGATCACTGGGCTTTTTTCTCCAGGCCATGTCCCAGGCAGCAGGGCCCTATCCAGGCCCTTGGCTCCGAGCTGCTCCCTGGGGGACAGCCTGGCAGGGCTGTGGACAATAGGAGCATTGTGGGACCTGGAAGCCAGGGCTTGGGGGGAGCCGTGGGGTGGCAGGAGTGGCAGCTGCTCCGAAGGTCTGCTCTGTCCTCGCTGGGCCAGAGGCATGCCCTGAGCATGCCAGGACAGCACCCCATGCCCAGGTCCCAGCCCGCCTGGATGAGGCCTGGGCCCCCTGGAATCCCAGCGATGTCTGAAGATAGGCGGCTATTCCAAGCCCTTCTCCGTTCTCCGCAGACCCTACTGCTCCCCACATACATTCTGGAAAATTCGTCTGGGACTGGCCAAGTAGGTTTGCATCCTTACCCTAAAATGAATCAGTCCTCCAAATGAACCCTCCAGAGCAGAGAGGACCACGCACTGCCCGTTACTGGGAGGGTACTCTCTGAGCTGGGAAGTACTCACACTTTGCCTTCTGGTTCTGTCCCAGGAAGGGGGACAGGTCAAAGAAGCCATGGAAAAATCCAGGCTGGAAAGGGCCCTTAGGGAGTAAAGCCCCTCAGTATACTGAGAGGGGAGACGGGGGCCCAAGGAGGGGAGGTGCTTGCCCAGGGTGGTAGAGGCAGTTAAAGGGGGAGCTGGGATGGAACCCTATTCCTCTGAACCCTATTCCCCTGCCCCTTACTCTCCGTGCTATGCCAGGGAGGTGTCAGCCTGCCACACTAACCCTTACCCCTTTTGGCTTCCACTGAAATGCCTGTTGCTGCTGTTCCAAATCCTACACAGGCTTCAAGCCCCAGCTCATATATCACCTCCCCCCTGAAGCCTTCCCTGATAGACCCAGACAAAAACCACAACTCCAGACCTTCTCATAGAATCCCACTGAATCAGATGGAAACTAGAAGGGATATCCTGGCTGACTTCAGAGAGGAATTTCCACATGCCTGCCCTGAAGGGGCTGGCAGACCAGTGTGAAAGACAGACATGTAAACAATTACAATAAACAGTCACAGAAAGACAAGAGGCATGATATAGAGATGGGTGAAATGCTACAGCACTTCCATAAGGAGCCTCTCGTCTCCTGGCCGGGGACTGAGAGTATATGCCTGAAGGCTGCATGGAGGAAGTGGCATTTGGACAGTTGCTCACATTGTGTGGCATTTATTTGTGTATCTGTGTCTCTCCCCATTGGACTGTGAGATCCTTAAGAATATTGAGAGCTAACCTCTACTGCGCACTAACCATATGCGAGATGTGTGTATGTGTACGTGTGTGGTGTTTTTCTTGTTAATGTACGTCACGTCTTTGATTTCTCACAACTGTATGAGCTTCACGTTATCCCCATTTACTGATGAGGATAAGACTCTGAGAGGTTAAAATCCACTTCAGCGGTTCACCACTGCACACTTCATTTTCCCTGGAAGTTCATTCACTTTTACATACCTGCGAGCTTGGTGAGCAAGAACTCTCCCAGGGACCCCAGGTCCACAGCCTCCAGCAGCCCTAGCCCGCAAGGCTCCTAGCTCACTTCCGACTGCAATAAATGGGATGGGTACAGGGGTTCTTCCCGAAGGCTAACTGGGTTGGTGCGAGGGTGCCGATACAGCATTTAAGGCCCTAATAACTGGGCTCCTTTTACTTTGCAGGAGAAGCTCAGAGGCAGAAATCTGGCAGGAAGGAGTGGGAGGGAAGCCAGGGGGCCTGATTTAGAGTTGGGTCTGCAAAACCAGCCCCTGTGTGTGCTTGGACTCTTTAGGGGTGCCTGGGGGCTTCCAGGGGAGAACAGGGGCAGGAGCTCTCCCAACTGCCCCTCAGTATCAACCCAGCCAGCTCTGCAAGTGAAAAGCAGGCAGGGTGGAAACGGTTTCTGAGCTTGACTCAGGAAGGTCACCTCTCCTCTAGGACTAAGTGACAAGGAAGGAGCTGTCAGGCTGTTGGCGTTTCAGGGAGCCAGAAGGTCAGCCCTCCTGTCAAGGCCATCAGACACCAGAAAAGGACTGTTTGTCTCCCACTTACCTGATTGTCTACACGGAACTGTGAGCAAGTCAGCTCTTCCTGTCTGAAACAGAAAGTGAGACTTCTCGGTAGATGCTCTGAGTGAGTTGTTTTTCCTCTAAATAGTGCACCTCATCCCCAGGTGACACGATGCTTCACGACTGGGATGGACAAGAGTAACCCTGAACTCGTGCATCATAATCTACGGCTTTATGTGCTGAGACTTAGAAGGGCCCCGGGAGGCAGGTGCAGAGAGAACCACTCTCTCCATTTGACTGAGGAGGAAGCAGAGGCTCAGAGAATTTAAGCAACGTGGTGGAAATTTCCCAGCTTTTCAGAGAGCAGCATCAGGACTTGCACCTACATAGGCCCCCTGTCACTTCCCAGGCCGGACCAGGGAGTAGAGAAGTCCACCCTCCAGGACCTCTAGCCCCAGAGAAAGATATGGGAAGGAGGATGGGGACAGGAGGGAGGTGCTTTGACCTTAATACAGTGGCCGGATGGGGGCAAGGTGGGACTCGAAATCAGGAAAGCTGAGTTTTTTAGCTTCAGGCTTGACAAGAATGTGGAGCCACCGGAACCATGATAACTTGTCATTTCCCATAGCCTGCTTCCTCCTGGAAACCTCTCCGTCCAGAAGATTTCTGATCAGGCTTTGGATCTTCAGATTGGCCACCCCCTGTCCCCATCTCAGCCTCTTCCTGAGGCCAGCTCCTGACCCCAAGCAACAGCACCGGCCAGCCCATCTCCAGTCGGCTGGGCTTGGGGTGGGGATGAAAGGCCACTGTTAGGAAGAACCTGTGCAGACAAACCTACACTTTCCGTTTGCTGGAGATCCTGAATCCCTCATCATTTATTCATTCTGTGAGGCTGCATTCTAGAAAGGATTTAAAGCACTCCATCACTTATTAATAAACTTATATTGTTTTTTTAATGGCAAATTTTTTAAATTGAAATATAGTCTGTTCATAGTGTTATGTTAATTTCTGGTATACAGCGGAGTGATTCAGTTATACATATATATACATATATATATTCCTTTTCATATTCTTTTTCATTATAGGCTATTACAAGGTATTGATCCCATTTTGTGATGCCTGTTCACTCACTTCCTTGTGCATTTCATCATTCATTCAACTAATTCTCTTTACCGTAAAGGCCATTGGTCCCAAATTCTGCCTCCCTTTTCTCAGATATTCATGGGGTTCCTGGCCCATTTAGATCCTAGGATGTTACCCAGAATTATAGAACTGCAGGGCTGCAGCCTTCAGACAACAGCTGGGCCCACTGCCTCATTTTGCAGATGAGAATGTGGTCAGTATCCTCTCAAGGCCAAGGCTGTCCCAGAAAGAGAAGCCCCATCTTGGGCTGGCAGTCTAGTGTATGAGGAAGACAGAGAGATGCTACAGGAAGAAAGCCAAGGCCACCAGAGGCTGGTCAGTGTGATGAGGAACCAGCTCTGATCTTGGGGTCTGAAGAGCAGAGTTCCAGCCCAGCTTGTTCACTGCCTCTGCCCAAGTTCTTACGCCCTGGGCATCTCTGCCTGGATGTCCCACAGGGTCCTCGAACTCATGTCTGAACCCAGTTCTCTACCCACCTGCACATGCTTCCTGTAGTTCCACTGTTTCCCCAGCTGCAAAAACCAGGGGACCAGGCAACTCCTGCCCCCTACCCCCACACATCTGGCCAACTGCCCTCTGTAACCTCCCAAATGGCTTTTGAAATCTCTAACCTCTCTGCACACCAGCTGCCACCACTCTCCAGGAGCTGCAGCTCCTCTGTGGCTGGGCTACTCCAGACAAGTGTCTCAGCCTCTCTCTGAACCCACCTCTACACCATCTCTACACAGACTTGCCTTCGGTCCACCCAGGATCAGGGAGTGGAGAAAGCCCTGAGGTGAGTCTGGAGGCTGCGAGTCCCAGCTCCTCCATGAAGGAGCCATGCTGATCCACACGTATAACCCATGACTCTGACTTCCAAGGTCATGGCCAGCTAATAATAATGGCCCTCATTCCCCAATCACACACTGTGGCCAGGTACTGTGTTAAGTACTTTATATAATTTAATCAAAGGAATGATCCTGAGGGAGGTGCTACACCCATTTATAGATGAGGAAAGTGAGGCATTGAGAAGCCAAGTAACGTGGCCCATGATAACACAGCCAGTACATGGAATCAGGATTCAAACCCAGGTCTGACCAAATCCAGGCCCACACACTTTGCTATGCTGCCTTCTCTTGCCTGTGCAGGAACTTCTGCTCACTGGTACTACCCAGAGGTCCCCATCCCTTGCTAATAAAACCCTTGCTCCTTTTCTGCATGGGGGGATTATGAACCTGCTGCTTCTACTGTGGGCAAGCTGGGATACAAATCCTGCGAGCTGGCTGCAGCTGCTTAATGCCCTGCATTCCTCAAGTGGTACCAGGCGGAGTTCAGCTGTGCCTGCCTCCTCCCAAGGGCTGCCGACTACACGGCTCTGCTGCTGGACCTAGACCAAGACACTGGGAAACGGCCCAAGCCAGCGCTCACACACTGGCTCTGTGTGACCTTGGGCTCCTGAAATGGCCCATCTCCTGGCAAGGGAAGAAGAGTGATGAGAAGCTGTGTCAGACACAACACACCTTGACCTGGGATAATTTTAGTGATGGAGACAGGAGACTCTGACATAAACTATGAGGATCTGGTGGTGAATTCAAAACAAGTTAACCCCGTGGGTGCTCAGGTTTGGTCTATATCCTGTGAGCCATCATTGCCAAATGTCAGGACTGGTAGTGGGTACAAGAGAAATGGTGCTGGATGGGCCGTTCTTAACGAGGCCAGGGAATAGTAGACGGGCATCAGGGCGCGGTAGGAGCCCTGGTTGGCACTAGCCTGGTAATCAAAATGCTTGGCAGAATCCAGATTCTGCCACTCGTTAGAATCCAGCAAGGTAACAGATGAAATGCTTGGAAAGCTACCAAGAGCTCTCTGAGTGTTTGGACTTGTTACATATTAACTAAGAGGCTGCTTTTGCTTTTCCTTCCTTTCAGAGGTGGGGCTGAATTGCAGGATGGCGTCCTAGAGACAACACAGGCTTTAGAATTGGGCTGACCTGGGTTCCTCTTGGGCTGCTTCTGGCTCCTCTTTAGCTCTGGGAACTTGGACAAGTTCTATAATCTCTGTGGTGGAGAATGGCCTCCCAGCTCAGACTCAAGTCACAGCCCTGAGAGTCTGCACGAGACCCATATGACCCTGTACGATCAGGAACTTCACTAGTCTCTGGCCTCTTTCTCCCTCCCCCTTGTTCACTCTGCTCCAACTGGCCTTTTCATTGTATTTTCTCAACATACAAAATATGCTCTGGCCTCAGGGCCTTTGTACATGCAGTTCCCTCTTCCTATTACTTTCCCCAGGTATCTGCAATGTGGCCTCCTTGCCCCTTCAGTTCTGCCCAAATGACACCAATCAGTGTAATCTTTTCTGACCATCCAATTCAAAATGGTAACTCCTACCCTTGATTTTTCTCCACAAGATAAATCGGCATCCAAAATACTACAAATGGTTAATCATCCGTCTCTACCCATTAGAATTCAAGCTCCATGAGGACAGGGACTTGTCCTTTATTTTAATTTAAAAAAAAAGCTTTTTTGGTGGGTAGGATTTTGTCTTTCACCCACTTCCATTTCCCTCTTGCCTAGCAGTGCCTGGCTGGCTTACTTGAAGGGAAAAAGGATTCAACCTTCAGTGCATAAAATCCTACAAAGTGCCTGATACACAGCAGGGACTGTATTAGCCCCCTAGAGCTGCTGGAACAAATGACCACAAAGTTGGTGGCGAAAACAGAAACTTATTCTCTCAGTTCTTGAGCTCAAAAGTCCAAAATCAAACAGATAAACAAGATTATACTGGATAGCACAGGGAAATATACACAAGATCTTGTGGTAGCTCACAGCAAAAAAAAAAAAATGTGACAATGAATATATGTATGTTCATGTATAATGGAAAAACTGTGCTCTACACTGGAATTTGACACAACATTGTAAAATGACTATTATTCAATAAAAAAATGTTAAAAAAAAAGTCCAAAATCAAGGTGTCAGCTCTAAGGGAGAGCCCTTCCTCGCCTCTTGGAGCTTCTGGTGGCTCCAGGCATTCCTTAGCTGGTGGCTGCATCACGCTAATCTCTGCCTGTCTTCATGTGGTCCCCTTCTCCCTGTGTGTCTCTGTGTCTAAGGACACTTGTCATTGGATTTAGGGGCCACTTGGATAGCCCATCTTGAGATCCTTAACTCACATCTATGAGAACCTTTTTCCAAATGTCACACTGATATGTTCCAGCGGTTAGGACATGGACATACCTTTTTGGAGACCAGCATTCAACCCACTACAGCGTTCAGTATCAATAGGGAAAAAGGATACAGAAGAGCTTACGAGCCAAGCATGGGGGAGAAATAACTGAGCATCTCCTCTGTTCCTCATCCCAGTAAAGCAGATTCTAACTTTGTTTACACACAAGGAACGGGGTTTAGAGGTAAAGTGACTTGCCAACAGGAGCTTCCATCCCAAGAGCCACACTGGTGTCCACCTCAGGGTGACAGGTAACACCCCGGATAAGGAGGAAGCCATATGGCCCTGCTCCAGCCACTGCCAACCATCCAAGTCCCCATGTTGAGCCCCTGGAGCAGGCCCAGCTCTGCAGACACTAAGGACCCGCAGATGCTCGGCCCAGCAGTGGGCAACACGGCACTTTCACACCCATTTTCATCTCTCAACCTGGGGAGACAGAACTTCCACTTTCAGACAAGACTACCCGCCCAGAAGTCACATGGTAAATTAGTGACACAATTTAGACTTGAAACCATGTGTCATCCCTTCAAGTCAGTGACTCTTTCCATGCTCTCAAGCTCCCTTAAAACCAGAAAACTCAAAACGAACCAACCACGTAGCAGGTGAGCACAAAGCCTAGCCTGAGAATTCACAGCGACCCTGGCACCAGGAGGGAAGGCACAGCCTCACCAGCCGAGCCTTTCCAAGTTCCCAGAAATCGCCCTTTATTTTGCACAGACTTTTATGGGTTATCTATTGCTGATTCACCCTTGCTGCCTGTCTCAGGGTAGGACTTTCTAAAGTAAAAACACAAGTTTGGGAAACAAAAGACCTGTCTTCATTACCTATACCTTGACCTTGAACAAGTTACTTAATTACTCTTAAGCTTCATTTAAAGCCTCAATAAAATCAGGATTCCAAGGCTACTGGCTCCAGGGTGAGAAAATGTATAAATGGTGTGCAGATCATTCTGCGGGCTTACTCTGGAATACAAAGGTTTTACAGCTCCAGGAATATCCTATCTTTGATGGGTAGGTTGGGTGAGATGCCTGAGGCAACCAGTTTCAGTGAGGTTTTCAATCATCACAGATCTGTATTATCTGCACTTTGATAAGAAATCAGCTCTGATAACAAATAGTGTAGGCTGCCAGGTTTTGAGGTGCAGAAGATGTCATCTCAGATAAGTCCCCATGATGGCAGATCCCATATGGTTAAGGGGCGGATGGCAGAGTGAAAAACAGACATGACTAGGTTGTGACTGCCCGTGAAGGTTCCAGACAAGCAGTAGGCCCAAACTCAGAGAGTGGGAGAGTCTGCATACAACAGAAACTGAAGTTTCCAGTGTGAAGGATCAGAAGATCTGGGCAGAAGACAGTAGTTTGGAGCAAACTCAGCTTTTCTATAACTACGTGACCTTGATTAAGTCACTTCACTGCCCAAGTCTGTTTCCTCATCAACGAAATGGGGACACTACTACTAAACTCATGCTGGAAAGTGCAGGCAATGTACATGGATTCTTCTTAGCACAGCCCTGGCAGCAGCAGGTGTTCAGTAGTTCCTTCCTAAAACCCAGGGCTTCCACGAACATGCATGCAAATTACAGCGGGTCATTAATGCTCAAAGGATTCTTGTGCGATACAAATGACACTGAATGTGAAAATGTCCTGTATACTGCATAATGCTTCATGAATTCAGGGATTAAATAATTCAATTTAAACACCAACAACTGATGCATCAGGAAAAAGTATCATGACACACAGGAAATTATGTACTGTTGCCCTTGTCCACAGATGTTCCCCAACAATAAGGAGATGACAAATCTGGTTCCAAAGATCCTTTATTGAGACCTATTTAAAACA